CCTACACCGGCTCCCACCTCCCCCACCCCCCCTTTCAGATGGGCCACGTTTGAAGTAAAGGTTTCACAAGTAGAAAATCAAGTCAAATCACTCAAAAGCCTGAATTTGGGACTAAAGAGGCGATTCCGAGGGAGACGCGACGCGCTCGGAGACGCTCGTTTAAAGTTTCGGGGAAAAGACAGCACTCGTTGCAGTAACACCACGGGGTGGGCCCCCTCCCCTGCCCTATATTTCCTGCTACTCTGTTTGTTTGTTTTTGTTTGAATTATAATACAATGTACATCTGTGGTAACGATCCTCCGGCCAGAGCCCCCCAGGGAAGCCCCCCCGAGCGTCAGAAAGTCCATCGGTCGTGGAGTTGGCTTTCGCTGCTAAAGCTGTTGCTCGCTGAGGCTTCGGGGTTTTGCGTTTGCCGGGTCGAATCCTCCCCTTTCAAGCTCTTCCTGCACACGGGGCACGTGTCGTGCTGCAAGAGAAAGGCGGGGGCTGCAGGGGAGCGCCGCCCGGCCGGCTGCTGGCCCCCGCGTGCTTTCATCCCGTGGGGCTGGGAGACCTGGGGGGCGAGGGGCCCCGGTGGCCCGCGGGCTGGGGCTCTTACCAGCTCCAACCACGGGACGATGCAGTTGCTGTGGAAGAAGTGATTGCAGGGTAACTGCCGCACTTGCTCCGCTACCGTGTAGTCCTCTTTGCACACCGGACACTCCAAACCCGTATCTGGAAGAGACGCAGGCAGCGGGGAGGGTGAAGCCGGCAGCTTCAGCCCTCCCGGGAACACGAGCTCCGGTCTTCACGTTCGCGTGCGACCTATGAGGCCAGGCTGAGGGAGTTGGGGGTGTTCAGCCTGGAGAAGAGAAGGCTGTGGGGAGACCCGAGTGCGGCCTTTCAGTACCTAAAGGGTAAGTACCTATAGGAAAGATGGGGAAAATCTTTTTAGCAGGGCCAGCTGGGACAGGACAAGGGGGGCTGGCTTTAAACTAAACCAAGGTCAATTTAGACTGGATCTAAGGAAGAAATTCTTTACAGCAAGCAGGGGTTGCCCCGAGAGGGGGTGGAGGCCCCATCCCTGGGAACATTCCAGGCCAGGTTGGCCGGGGCTGTGAGCAACCTGATGTGGTTCAAGGTGTCCCTGCTCCTGCAGGGGGGTTGGGCTGGGTGACCTCTGGGGGTCCCTTCCCACCCAAACCATTCCATGATTCTACTGGGGAGGGCAGCGCTCGCAGGCAGCACAGAAATCCCTTGCGTACGACTGGCAAGGAAAATGAAACCAAACAGAGGGTGTTGTAGCCCGGTCCTGCCAAAAATTCCTTCCCCAGAACGAGGGGGGGGGTTTGCGAGGCCAGCAGGGGCTGCTTCCATCGCACGGCCCCCTCCTCTGCAAGAGGCCGCGGTGAGAGACGGCAAAAACCCGACCCCTCTTCCTTCACGCCCAGGCCTACGCTAACGCCGCTGTCCCAGCCGCGAGCAGACCGAGCCCCCGGCCCCTCTGGGCTGCGCGGCCCGAGCTCCGTCGACACAAACAGGCGAGACCGAGCATTACAACATGGAAATTCAGACGCTCCTCGGCTTCCCAGGCCAGGCAGAAGAGACCCGGGCATACGAAAAGCCCCAGACAAAAATATCTGTTGTGGGAAGAGCTTTTCTAACCAAACAGTTCGCCTGAACGGAGCGGTTTCGTTCCCAGGAACAGAGCAGCTCGGCGGGAAAGGGCTCCCCCGCAAACACGGGGAGAAAAATCCCCGGGACGAGCTAATTGCAAAACCATAAACGTCTTGAGAAACCCGCGGGCCTTTGCCGCCAGCTGCGCTGCAAGAACCTGCGAGCTTTACAGGACGCTCCCGGGGCCGCGCAGCAGGCATACGGCACCA